CAAGCAAAGTCAACTTTTAATTTCATAACACAAAATATTTAATTTATGCATTTCTTCATATGTCAATTTAACCTCCGGCACATAGCTTTGAAACCATGTAAGGATGCCTAACACTTTCCATATGGCAACTGAATTGTGGCTTTTAATTGCACCAACTGGTATCATTCAAGTATAATTCCCTTGGAATCCAGCTTTCTCCTACAGTATTGGCCAATTCACTAATCTCATCACCATGGCACTAATACTTTCAAAGACTCTTTGATTGTTAATATTCATATTATAATTTTCCCAAACCAGAGCTGTCAAGATATACTATGTGCACCACTAATTAAATTATCTTGGTTTGTTGGCACCAAATTTCAACACTAAATAAGATTCTGCTTCTCTCCCTTTCAATACAAAATTTGGCAATTTTATTTTAAATGCCAAACACAATATTTCGTGTATCAAAATATTTTTTTTAGTCATACCAATATCTAGCACTATTGAGTCTGCTGTTTCTTTTAATCCTCAGAGTCAATATAAATAATTATCTATACAATACTGACATTAATGTACTTGAAAATGTTTCAGTTTAAAAGATCACTACAAGCAGCCACACAAGATAGCACCCAAGGAAATTTTAATTGCTCTTGTCACCATATCAGTACAAAGGCAGTCTTTCAAATGTCATTCTACCCATGAGATGACCCCAATGCAGTGCTACAATTAAAACTTCCACTTCAACAGCCTTTAAGCCATAGTATATACATACCACTAAGGTCTCTTTTCTGTTTATTATTTCCATTTTGGATGAATGATCTACCCAGCTGTGTCTTCCATAAGGCTATGTATTTTTATATGCACACACACACATGCTATTTAACAGTGGGGGACTGGAAGGGCTTTTTTTTTTTTTTAAATTTAAGAAAGATCATGCTAGAGGAGCAGTGAAGTTGACACTGGTGTAGTCTCCTCTCAGCCATGCAAGGAATGCCCATTAATGTCACTGGCAGTTACAGGCACAGAACAAATGGAGAACAAGCCCCACCTCTGAAGCAGTGATGTGCCTCAGCATTTCATACTGTATTATTCCCAGACCAGATACTCAACTCTAATTAATATCAATTAAGGGTGAACATGAGGATCAGTAGCACTAAAGAGGCCAGCAGAAGTGGTAAGCTGAAGTCTTTTCTATTTTAGCTAAAATGATTACTTACAACTTGCCTCACTGTGAGCTGGTTTGAAATTTAATTAAAAATATGAGATCTTTTTCCAATCCCAAGCGCAGATCTCAATGAGACGGCAAAAGAAACTAGTAAAATTTCTTATGGCTTTGAAGATAAAAGTAAATTGAACTAAGCAAACGTCATATTTAATATTTTCCCCTCTAGCACAGAACTACTTCTCAGTTAAATAAATAAATACATGAATATTTGCAAACAATGTTGATCTCCAAAAACAGTCTGTAAAAGTAAACACACAGAATAAATTTAAACTTAAGAATTGTACAGGATAATCCACAGTGTCAGAAAACCTTTCTGGGCACAAGTTAACTCATTCTTAAAGCAGCAAACCCAGTGTATTTACTTGCTCTAACAGATTTACAGCCCCAGTGGTTTCAATTGGCTTTGAAACTAGAAGATGACTCTGGACCTCATACTTTTCATGGATGCAACAGAATTCATTTTTTCTTTAATTCTACGTGATGTGGAAGGCTGCATCACAGCCCTCAGCCTCCACAGCAATTAAAACATTTAGAGCAGAGCAGCCCCTGCTGGGCAGGTGGCAATGGTTTAATGAGATCAGAGCTCTTAGCACAGGACAGAAAGTTGTATACACACCAGAAGCGCGTATTTCAGATACAGTCCCCTTCCTCTGGCTCATGCCTTCACCCAACAATTTACTATGCGATCCTTCCCGGATGACTGATGCATTTGGCAATAGCTGGACACTAATTATTGTTCTCCCAGTGAACCGGAGGGGGGAAGTCACAGACAGACAAAATATGACACATCAGCTGAAGGAAGTCTGCTCTAACCAAGAGACTCTCAAAACTTCAGTTCAGGAAGAGAAAAGGTAGTGTATTCTTGAACCCTCCTTGTGTCAAACACCCCTTGAGTGAACTGAGGTAAAGACCTCCCCTCCACAACTATTGTAAAACCAATCATTCTGGAGAGGAGGACAAATGAAATGTTATTGTTTTCCTGTATTAGTCACTCGTTCCTCTTGTAAAACGTTACATGAATCCCCCTGAACTTCAGCGTCATCTCCCCTGGATGACTAACTTTAGCAAAACAATTCAGTGTGTCCGTTCTTGAGGAAACCAGCCTTCCAAGAACAACCAACACAGAATTTTTGGCTTACATAGAGCAATGTAAATCAAATTTCACTATCGCATTCAAGTTCTAACCAAAATGATTCAAAGCTTTGAAGTTTCAGACTTGGAAGCAACTGGGTGCTCTCCTCTCCCATCAGCCCGTCTTCGGAAGTACACTGGATTTCACCAAATAGGGCCCTATACACTAATGAAAGTACCATCAACAAAACTCTGGTTAAGGACTCCTCGAAGGAAAACTATTTCTAGGACCATTATTTTTTTAAAAAACTCAACTGGATGTTTCTCTGAATGCAGATATTTTCATCAGTGTTTGATCTAACTCTTTCTGCCGTAAGTCACAAGCACAGCAATTAGGACCTATTTCAGAGGAAAAAACATTTTAATGAGAAGCCAAAGTTTCAGCTGTGACACAGTAAAACTGTACCATTCCACAGAGCCTTGTAAACTAATTGAACATTTTAGGAGGAATTTTGAAGTAGTAAGGAGACAAGCCCTTGGTTGATTCAAGTGCAACAGTACAACATTATGGCAGAATACACAACTGTCCCACACAATCCCACATGACTAACTGTAAGTAGAAATGACTAGTATTTCTACATCTTGAGGTGAATGAAGAGCCAAGAGGTTAGGCTACAATTCGCTTTGTATCTTGGTATAATTATAGAAGAGATCAAAGAGATCTCAGAAGAGAAACAGTCATGCAATCTCAGTTATGGAGTCAATAGCTGTGACTCCACAATCCTTGTCAAAAAGACTGTACATATGGCACATCTGGTTCCAATGTAGGATTAGAAATCCAACCTTCCATATTACCAAAAGTTCATATTTTAAAGGAACTTTAATGTAGCTGTCACAGTGTGCCTGTGACAGGATGACAATTAAACTAAATCAATTAGCAGGCTATATATGCATACAGATGCTACCAAATATATTAGGCAATAAATTGCTAGTATTTTCAAACATTCAGAAACAGCTCTATCAGGATGACAGTAAAAAGCCTCATGGGAACAGTGCTTTTAAATCTATTTACATTTTTATAATGTACTAAAACTGTAGACTAATTTTTAGTTAATGGCTTGCTAATTGTTGAGCTATCATGAGGAGGACACCTTGAGTAAGAACAGTTCTTACTGAGCAGACCTCATGGAACTGAAAACTGAAGAGCTTTGTGAATAGCAAAATACCGTTGACAAAAGATTTTTTTTCTTCTTTTTAGAAAGTAAACTGTCTTTGTGGAAGAAAATATATTTCACAAAGCTTAAGTCAGAGTTTTTGACCTTTAACTCTTGTATTGTAAACCTATGTTTAGTTTGCTGAGTTGAGCTTCTTTCCTAGGAAATATATATGTGAAAGGTAGAACATATCTAAAAAGTTTGACTCACAAAAATGGGGATAATTAAAAATAATAAAAGCACATGGTTTTACGCTTTGCATCTGTATCATACATGTATGTACCATTATTAATGAGAACTTCTTTCTTTGGACACATTGTCTCCAAGTAAAGCACAATAAAAATCACTTCAAACAACCATACCTGCAAATTGAACATGAGGCAATTATGCTGATCAATTACAAACACTTACATCAATATCTTATCCCCTTTGCCTTACTTGTAGTGACTCCCAAACAATTTACCCTCCTCTAAATATAACACTGGTGGAATCTAAAGAGTCATCATTAGCTTTTCCCATACTACACATCTTCTACACCCCACCTAAAATGAAGTATTCTTCACTTGCAAGTTAATTTTTCCTGAGACATGAGAAGTCCAGGCTTCTGACAATAAAACTGGTGGCTAACAAAGCAAAGAGCCTGGAGGAGGTTTGGTGGCCAGGCTCTGCTTGTGCTTTCAGAGCCACATTCCTCGCTGGGAAGCACAGATTCCAATCTCCCCATCTCTCAGGTTACTTTTCCACTGATGAAACTTTCAGGGCTTGATCCAAAGCTCACGGAAGTCAATGGGAGTCTTTCAGTAAACATCAATAAGCTCTGGATCATACCCTGAAACACTATAAGGACCATATCTAAGAACTGTTAAGTTTGTTTACCTCCCGTCATGCCTTTTTGTTTAAAGAGACAATATTTAAAAAAAAAAAAAAAAGCCAACTTAAACATTTCCTCCAGCCCAGCTTTACAGTGCGGTGGTAAGCGACCAGTGTGGTTAACAGCCAGGACAAGTGACATGTGCAGTAAGTCTTAGGCAGAAAGTCAGCCACGCATAATTAGCAAAGAGCAAATAAATAACAATACACTCTTTGGGGATTTCTCCTTTCCTGAATTCCTCTGCCCAAATGTCACAGGCAAACTTGTGCACCAATCAGGGTTCACAAGCTTGTGCACACTGGCAGGGTGCTGGGCTTTTCCCAGAGATTCTCTGTTTGTTCATGTTTGTGAAGGGTTTTGTTCTAATCGTACTGCCCAGCCGCTAGCAAACAGGTCCTCTTACTCCTCTGGCTTTTGTACCAGCACTAAGTTTGCTCTGCAACTCCCAACTTCATCAAAGGACTGAAGAAAACCACCCACGGGGCAGCTCCTTGGAGCAGCATTAGGGCAAAGAAAACCCTTCCTTTGCACAACCGACCCTTGGGAGGGAGAGAGGGATGTAGAAAGAGCTTTTGGTTTTCCCTATTTCAAAAAGAAGGGGCGGGGGAGAGTGGGGGCAGCGAAGAAGCTGACATACCCTGCTGGCGCTGGAGAGCCTGCAAACAGCCCGGTGCTGGCAGCCTTGCTGGAGTCCCGAGCTGCTGCCTCCGCTGCTGCTGCCCCCGGAGTATTTCTGCTTCACCAT